CCTAGTTTGCTGAGGAATCTCCAAACTGATTTCCACAGTGGTTTCACAAGTCTGCATTCACAGCAGCAACAGAGAAGAGTTCCTATTTCTGCACAGCCTTGTCAACATTTGTTATTGGTTGATTTCTTAATGCTAGCCAGTCTTACTGGGGTGAGATGAAATCTCAATGTTGTTTTAATTTGCATGTTTCGAATGACTAATGATGTTGAACATTTTCTCATGTATTTATTTGCCACTTGTATTTCTTTATCTGAAAAGTGTATGTTCATCGCATTTACCCATTTTTGGATTGGGTCTTTGAATTTGGGAGGGGGTTGATTTTTTTTAATTCTTTATATGCTCTAGATAGAAAACCTTTGTCCGAGGGACAGTCAGCTAAAATTTTTTCCCAATGGGTTTTCTTTTTACTCTGCTTGCAATTTCTTTAGATGTGCAGAAACCTTTCAGTAGGATGAGATCACAGTTGTTGATTCCTTGAATTATTTCACGTGCTGTTTGTTTTGTTCATGAACTCTCTGCCTACCCCTGTGTCTTCAAGGTTTTTACCTACTTTCTCTTCCAATAGATCTAGTGTTTCTGTTTTAATATTGAGATCTGTGATCCATTTTGACTTTAGTTTGGTATATGGTGATAGACTTGGGTCTATTTTCAGTCTTTGGCAGGTGGCAAGCCAGTTTTTCCAGCACCATTTATTAAAGAGGCTGTCTTTCTTCCAGTGAGTTTGTTTGGCCCCTTTGTCAAAGATTAGGTGGCTGAGTGTGTTTTGGGTTGTGGCTGTTTCTTCCAGTCTGTTCCATTCATCCCCTGGTCTGTGTTTTAGCCAGTACCAAGTTGATTTTATGATAGTAGCTTTGTAGTATAATTTCAGGTCAGAGATTGTGATTCCACCTGACTTGTCTTTGTTTCCCTGGATTGCTTTTGCTATTCTGGGTCTCCTCTGTACCAAATGAATTTAAGGAATATTTTCTCTAGATCTGTGAGGTATGCTAATGGTAGTTTAATGGGAATTGCATTGAATCTGTACAATAATTTTGGTAGTATGTGCCATGCATTCATAATCTCAGTATCACCCACTCTAGATCCAGCCAGCTCTAAAATGCTCCACCTAAGAGGGCATGAGGTTTTGGGGGACATCTAGATACAAGCCATAACAATTAATACGGGGAACAGGTAAACATGTGATGGTGATGTATCTCACTACTGGTGGGTTAGCCATCCTTTGTTTAAGGTGTGTTACGGACTTCTCCAGTATAAAGTACCTATTTTCTCCTTTTTGTAATTAATGAATATTTTTGACCATTACTTTGAGATCATGTAATTACCCTGTTTCACCTTAAACTTTTGTCCACTAATTTTACCATCTGTTTGGTGATCATATTTCCAGGAAATAGTACTATGGTATTGCAATTGTGATTATTTGCTTTATTCTTTCTATATTTAATATTTGGACTTCTTTGTAAGGGAAATGTGTCCTTTCTCCCCCATTTATTTATATTATTATTACTTTAAGGATCTGTATTTTATTCTTTGAGTTCCCCGGGGGCTTCTCACTAAGCTATATACATTTCCCAGCCCTTTTAAAATTTTTTTATTTTTTGAGACAGGATCTTTCTAAGTCATTAAGTTGCCCAGGCTGGACTTGAACTTGTAGTCTTCCTGCCTCAGCTTTCCACAGTGTCGGGTTTACAGGCATGTGCCATCACTTCCGATGTCAAGAAAGACATTTTGATCTACTTCTAGGTCCCAAATCAGAGTCTGCTTGCTAGCATATTCTCCCTTTGTTTTTCAGTAAAGAGCCAGTGTTCCATGGAGGAAAAATGGCAGCAGGATGCATTTGATAGTTACTTGCTTGTCTTTAGCAGTGATCATGATCTCATACTTGCAGTGTTTGTTTTTTACATGAAGACATTCCAAGATACACAAGCCTGCTGCTGCCATGATTTCATTTCCTGTTTTTTGCGTTACTGTGTTCAACCATACTTGCCACCATAAGCCCGTTGACCCTTCAGCCTGTGGATCACCTTGAGCCTCTGGACCACCTTTGCCATCTGCTCTTCCCACACAGAGGACTCTCTTCTGTTGCACCCTGATCCCTCATTGCAATTCTTGCTCATTTGTTACCTCTTGGAGAGACCTTTCCTGACTACCCCATATGTAGAGTAGCATCCCCTTTGCTGTTGCTCCTTTTATTTTTCTTTATATCTCCTGTCATTATCTGATAAGTTTTATTACACACACACGCACGCACGCACGTTATGCTGTTGCTTAATTCCCTGATAAGAGCAAGGACTTTGTTCACACTGTGTTTCCTGCTTGAGACATTTGATACACAGTAGACATGAACTAAATATTGGTTGGATGAATGGGTATGGGTTTGGATCAAATGAATGCTAGGTTGTAGTACATATTTGAACGCTTTCACCAAACATTATTAGTTAATATTAAGGAAACGTGTTTCTCTTTTTCTCACTGTGTGGTAACTTTGCTAAATATGAAACTATGGTTTGTAAATCATTTGTTCATATATTTAATAATTGAAAACTCTGGGCCGGGATATAGCTCACTGGCACAAGCACCTGCCTGGCAAGTACAGGGACCCAAATTTGATTCCTAGTACCAAAAAACAAAAAAAAAAAAGAAAATTCTTTATTTATGTTGAATTAACATTTTTACTCCCATTATGTTTATATAATTAAAATAAATCTATTTCAAGTGACTGGACACATTTAAAATTTTTTTTTTTATAGCACAAAATTTACATTTAGCTCATTTTCATCTTCTGTTTTGGGGGTCTGTATTGTGGTTTTTATCATTGACAGCTCATGTGCCTCTGATTTGACCAAAGGTGGGTCCTTAATAGTAAAGCTTTTTGTGATCCTCCTTGCAATGTACCATCAAGCACCTTTACTCTTGGGGTTGCTGCTTGACTGTTTCCTGAAAGTCTGTAAATTCTTGTGGTCAAGAATTAGATACTGGTTATCTTTGCATTTCCAATCCCTTGGGCAATTTCTTAAAGGAGGATGTAATATATCATCAGTGAATGGAGACAAAAAGATCTATGTAGACTTTTTAATATGGCATTTTTCTATATTGCTGTGTATTTATGTTGTTTTTTCAAATCTTGGTGTAGGAGTAAACATGGAAGTACTAACTTCATTCCAGAACAGTTTTTGGACGATTTCATTGATCTTGTTATCTGGGGCCATGAGCATGAGTGTAAAATAGCTCCAACCAAAAATGAACAACAGCTCTTTTATGTATCACAGCCTGGAAGCTCAGTGGTTACTTCTCTTTCCCCAGGCGAAGCTGTGAAGAAGTGAGTAATTGTTACACATTCAAATAACATTTTTAACAATTCCTACCGGGGCTGGGGATTTAGCTCAGCAGCACAGCACCTGCCTGGCAAGCGCAATATCGTGAGTTCAATTCCTGGTACCGGAAAAAACAACAAAAAAGAATTCCTTCCTTTAACAGTCTGCTAGCCATCCCGTATGTTTGGGATACTGGCAGAATAAACAGATTTATTTACAAGGGTTAGTCATTTTATGTAGTTTTACTGTTTTCCTGGATGTTAATCCATTTTCTATAAGACAGCATCCAGTTGGTGTTAATGATCTTGCTGCTTGTTAAGCAGATTCAAGACTAATGTTTCTATTTATTAAATTTCAGATTAGATGCTATATAGATGATTACTAACTTCGCAAAGTGCAATTATAAACCAGTTACCAGAGAATTACTTAGTTTTGATTTCCCTTTGTTGTGAATGCAATACTATAGTACAGTGATGGCAAACCTTGTAGCGCTTTCAGTGATAACAGCCACCTGTGGCACATATGTCATAGGTTTGCTCCCAGTGGTATAGGATATCTAATTTCTTTTAATTCTATAGCAAAATGATGTATTTTTAAAAAGAAGTTTATAGAGATTAAACTCAATTTTATAATGGGTTTTTGCCTTTTGAATTTCTTCAAGTTCTGATTGCTGTAGTAATAGTTTTAAAATTGGGTGTGGTGGCGCATGTGTATAATCTCAGTACTTGGAAGGCTGAGGCAGGAGGATGACTGTGAGTTTGAGGCTAGCCTGGGCTGATAGGTAAGACCAGCCTGAACTACCTCGTGGGACCTTGTCTCAGGAAAAAAATAAAAATAGTTGTAAAGATTACAGCAGTCGGATGTGTGCTTGTTGGGTTTCTTAATAACATTTTAGTGTACTTGTTAAGTCTGTTTTCCATTAGAAGACAGTGTATTTGTTTAGATAGCAAAAATGATGAATGAATGAATATTATTCTGAAGAATATTCTCATATAATAACATTAAGATTAAACTGCCCAAAACATTTATTTTTAAGAGTATGATTTTATAAAGATATATCTTGTAGAAACTGAATTTAGCAGTAGGATAGCTTTTATTTGTACATTTCCTGAGGAAATTTATGTCCTGACTAAGCTTTCAATTTTTTCCCATTTTAGACATGTTGGCTTGCTGCGTATTAAAGGAAGGAAAATGAATATGCACAAAATTCCTCTGCAAACAGTGAGACAATTTTTTATGGAAGACGTTGTTCTGGCTAATCATCCGAACATTTTTAACCCAGATAATCCCAAAGTAAGCCAAGTCATACAGAGCTTCTGTGTGGAGAAGGTAACCTTTTATATAAAGTCAGTGAGATCTACTTTGGCCAAGAAAATATTTTCCTTCAATTAAATAATATAATGTAGGAAAGCTCTTACCTGTTTATTCCATTCTCATGAAATGAATAGTAAGGTATGTGTTTTTCAGGAAATGAGTTAGTGTCAAAGATATTTTTTTTTTCTTTTACAGTCGTTCAATAGAGGAATGTGAGGTACAGAAAAAAACTCTTGGTTCCTTTCTTTTAAAAAACATAGCACTACCTTTTCTTCCTTATCCTGATTTGTCAATTGCTTCATCTTACTTACATAAAACAGACAGTGATATTGATTGGGGATGGGAAGATACTGTAATATTTGATTCTACTGTACTCTGAGAGCTACCTTTAATAAGTTATTTGCTTTGCACTCTGTGCCTTTAAGCGTAAGCCTGTACCTCTCCATGCAGATTGCCACCCCTAAACCTCAGTAGAAACTCTAGCACCCCTACTGAATTTGGTGAGTGCATTTATTAGTACATAGTTGAGTACCATAGTCACATTAATTGCTGACATTTATTGTTCTTACCCTTTTCTGCATTACATTTTATTCTCATTAAAAAACATATAATGCAGTAATGATGATAGTGATTGTGACTGCTTGTGTAGTGTGCATTATTGAAGGCATTTTGCATTTAATCTATTGAATAGTGTTGTAAGTACGTAAGTTCTACCATTCTCATTTGTTGTTATTTTGCAGCTTTAGCGATAGAACTCAAGGATCAGAAACTTGCACATATTAGGCCACTGCTATGCCACTGAGCTATACCCACAGCCCTAGCACATACATTTCAGCTACAATGAGCTGAAGTTTAGCTAACGTAAGTTGTCAAGTGGCGTGCTTTGTGAACGATGTAGCTTGCATTAAAAGCATGCTGGATTCAAGGTGACCAACTCCAGGAACTCAAACTTAAAATGAGATTGTGAGTTTCTCTGTTTTTCTGTCCAGTTCTCTACCACTCTGGTGGTTTCTTTGTTAAGCATCATTATAAGGAAGACATTCTTTTTTTTTTTTTTTTGGTCCTTTTGAGACAGTGTCTCGCTATGCAGTTCAGGCTGGCTTTGAGCTCACTTTGTAGTGCAGGCTGGCCTCGGACTCACAACGATTCTCCTGCCTCAGCCTCCGGAGTGCTGGGATTACAGGTGTGTGTCACCACGCCCAGCAAGGAAGACATTCTGGTATGATGGCCAATAGACTTAACAGTATCCATTCACCCAGAAGAACTGTTTGTCTTGGTACCAAATTAATTTTGAACATTCAGCTTTATAGAGCTGAGGTCGTATATGCATCTCAAAACCCAATCCCTAAAATCAGGCAGGTGGAAAATGCATGGATTGATTCTATGCTGATGGCACCCAGAGCCGACACATGTGCCCTTCTCTGGAGTAACCCTAGAATTTCTCAACCTTGGCTTAGTTGACACTGTGGGTAATTTTTTGTTGTGGGTAAGGTGTTTAGTAGTATCCTCCCTGGCCTCTCCTTGTTAGATGCCTGAAGTTGCCTTCTCTCCCAACCATGACAAACCAAAAAACCCAAACCCAACTTTGTCAGGTGTGCCTTTGGGGCAAAAATACCTCTGATTAAAATCCACTGGGTGGCTTCTACCTAAATCCCATGGACTTGGAATGGCCACATAAATACAAAGAGGAGAATGGGTGCTAGTAATAGCAAAAGTACTAAGAGTCTATTTAGACATGCGGACACGTGCATGAACTCATTACCTCTGCTCTCTATTGTGTTTCTTTTACTGACTTCAGTATTGACATAGTGTTAGCAAACCTATGGCATATGTACTGCTGTGGGCTCTTTGTATCATTGAAAACTCTAAAAGGTTCACCATCACTGGACTAGGAGAGCATATGCTTATATCTCTGTGCTATCCAGTGTGGTAGTCATTAACACATTTCACTTCTTACATGTAATTAATTACATTGCATTAAAAAGCCACTTCCTCCCTGTACTAACCACATTTCTACTGCTCTGTATCCATCCACTTGTGGTTCATGGCCACCATACTAAATACTGTAGATGGAAAAACATCATCACTGAAAGTTGTGTTGAACTGTGTTGTAGATAGTTTAAAAGAGAAGATTATAAACTTTTAGATTTGGAGAGATCTGAGGACAGAAACACTGGTTTTATGATTGTTCCTGACAGAACTAAGTTATAAGGAGGGGCCATACTAGACAGAATCTTTATCACAAGAGGGTCCATGTATAATAATTAGATCTTCAGCAGGCAAACAACTCTAATTGTTAAAAGTTGTGTTGGAATTAAAATCTGACTTCTTACAATTGAGTTTTCACCTCAGGAGCTAGATAGTATAAAGTTGTTTGTTTTCTTTTAAGAGCAGAATATATTTACTTTGGGAAAGAAAGCTTCTGTCTGAGAGAGAGACAGAAGGGGCCCAGAGTGGGTTGGCCAGTGTAAGTGTTTTTGTCCTTAGATCTCCTCCAAGTCCATGATTTCATAATCTTATCCACCTGTAGCATGAGACAGCATCATATATTTGAAAGAATTTGTCATATTTTCTTTTAGCATGAACTCTTCCGAAATAAATAACCAAAAATCTTTTGTTCATGGACTCTTACATATTCTATATGAAACGGCTGAAAAAACTAGGTTTATTTGCTTTTAAGTTGAGGGAAGTGCTATTGAAATATGAATAGACTATTGGAGCAGAAACAGTGTTTTGTATTTTCTTTTAAAAGAATCACTTTAGCAATTGAGAAATTACTAAGAACAAAGGGAAAACATTACTAGTGGGAGTATTATAAGAAGGTAATTTAAAAAGATATAAATGACCTAGGAAATAAAGATGACCATATAGTTCAGGAAAACCCGTAGGATGGGAGTGTAAGTTATTATTTAGGCAGTTTAAACTAAACTAAATACTTTTTTAAGTCTTTGTTTTTCGTTTGTTTGATTGGTTGTTTGTTTTTCTTTCTTTGAGATTGAAGAAATGCTTGAAAATGCTGAACGGGAACGTTTGGGAAATTCTCGACAGCCGGAGAAACCTCTTATACGACTGCGAGTAAGTCCTGCTGACATAAAATAAAAGTGTGTTAATTTTCAACGTATAGTATACTAATGTACAGTTTATGTCAATTATTTGAAAAGTAGGAAGGCAGTTGATTATAGTAATAAGAGCATCACTATTGGAGATAAAACAATATGCTTGTAAGGATTTGATTTAATTTTGGTATTCATATTTCTTTCATTTTCTAAATAATTTGTTGTAATAAATAATAGATTGGTTGAAACCTCTGACTTCCTCTTTACTCTCCCTTCTTATTCCACTGGAGGTAGCTCGCCTTTCTTGCAGTTTCTTTTTTTTTTTTTTTTTTTTTTTTTAAAAATAAAAGGAGGAAAACATTAACAGACAGACAACCTTTTACAGAATAGCAAAAGAACAGTACAGACAATACAGAGTTACAAAGTGGTAGGAAATTAACAATGCTTGTTGTATTACATATTGATATCTTCAAAGTGGTTTCTCATGAAAACAAATAGAGACATGCAGTATTGATCAATCAAGGACTCATTGACAGTTTCTTTCAGCAAAGAAATAGAAGACAGTAGAACAACTATGTTAACTATCCTGTATATATGTACATACAAAATTTCTCCTTCCCTTCTTGCAGTTTCTTAAACATATAAGACATTCTTAGCTTTCTCAGGTCTGCTCGGATACTGCCCCACTGGGACTTGCTCTCACAAAGGACGCAGAGCCATTCATTCCCCTGAATTCTGCTGATGTCACTTAACCTTTTCCTTTTTCTTTTTCATAACAAATTCTCCTAATTACCATATGGAATTTGTTTATTTAGGTTATTGTTTGAATTGTTTCCTGTGCCCATAAATCCATGTATTTTTCCCATTGTGAAAAAACTAGTAAGAACAGACCATTTATTTGCTGCTGTGCTTTTTTTCTTCTATTCCTTCTCTGTTGTTCTCATTATCTGGGTTTGATTCTGGTCCTACCACTGATTGTGTAACCTTGAGCAACTTGTTCATTGGTTTGTATTTTTTAAATTTTTGAGATACAAATGAATTAATGTCTGGGAGACAGGAAGTAATCCAATCCCTTTCCCTCTCCTACCAGCATTGCTGTAGCTGAGCCCTTGTCACTTACTGGACTGCAGCTAGCTGTGGCTTTCTCCTGGGCCCTACACCCAGTTCCCCTCACCTCATCAGTTGCCTTTCCTCCACAGTAATGCCAGAGGGTTTGCAAAGCAGTCCTGGGTGTTTTTCCTGCTGAGAACAGCTCAGTGATTTCCGAGCACTAACAGGAACAAATCAAACCTTTTTAGGATCACACTCAGCTATTTATAGGACACGACTTCTTCCTCTTAGGCGTACCTGAACTCCAGTCATGTTGGACTAAACTTCCTTGTCCCTGTGCCAGGTGGAATTATTTCATTTGTACCTTCTCCGTGCTGCCCCTGCAGTGTGCCATGTGCTTCCTTCCTCCTTGCTTTGTATCTCGTTCGGCAGCCACTTAAACCCTTCCTCCCGGAGAAGCCTTACTGGGCCTCCTTCTCAGTTAGTGCTTCTCCTTTGTGTCCCCATTCTCCTCTACACATACCTCTTATTGCACTGTTGATGTTCTGCTTGCAGTTAGTTATTTACGTTTGTTTTTGTGGTCAGCTTGTGAACTTTTTGAAAATCTATGTTGTGTACTATTTATAGTTATATCCCTAACCCTTAGCAGAGTGCCTAGAATGTTGAAGACACCCAATAGTTTGTTTAATGAGTGAGTTTTAAAACTCTTGGGAGCAGAAACTACAGATAAAACTAGGCTGCAGTAGTCAGGCATTTTGGAGAGACCCAGTAGCGTTAGCATTTAGGATTTTGTCTTTTACAACATGGCAGCTGTGGAGAAGGTCTGGATGGTACAGATATGGTTGTTTTAGGAAAACAAAATGGTCCTCATTGGGGCAAAGATCCCATGTTTCTCATCTCTCTGCCTGATACTATTAGAACTAACCAAGCAGGTAGCAAGTTGACATCATTTTTCCTAAATTCAGTAAATTTTTAGTTCACTCATGAAAGAAAAGAACAGATATGTCATGTAAATAACATCACAAAAATGCCCTTCAAAAATTTGAGGACCCAAATGAAGTCATGAATTCGTTGAACAAATCTTACTGAGTACCTTCTGCCAATGACTGCTGAGGGATGAAGTGGTGCTAAAACACAGACAAATCTTTGAACTTGCCGGGTTCATAAGAAGCGGAGGACCGAGGAGAAGTACGGAACAAGCAACTGTCACATAAAGCACTGGAACAGAGAGGGCTTACCAAGTGGTGCTGAGTGTGGTGTTGCATATGGTGGAGCAGAGTCAGGGGAGAGGGTCCTCTGCACAAGCTGATATCTGCTGGTTTCAGCATGCTTTGAGATCAGCTAGTGTAGGAAAATGATTATCTCCTTGGGGCTGGGGATTTAGCTCAGTGGCAAAGCGCCTGCCTCCGAGTTCGGTTCCCGGTACCGGAGAAAAACCAAAAAAAAAAAATAAAAAAAATGATTATCTCCTTGAAGGAAAGGTAGTGTTTCTCTTTGGAAAAGTCTGCCTACCAGTAGAGACTTTTTTAGGAAGAGCCTGCCTTGAGTGAGATTGTTAGTTCCAAAGAATACTGTGTTGTGAAGGTAACTGTTCCAGGTTTCCAGACTTGATACTTTCCTACCTAAATGCTCCTAGCATTTGTCCTTGTCCATTGTGAAGACACAGCGAATGCCAGCAAACCAGCTCCTCCAAGTCTGGTGTTGTATTCTATTAGGTGTTATCCTCTTGTTTTGAAAGTTTAGAAGTTTGTCTGGAAACTCCACCTCCTTTTTTCAGATGGTATTCCTGGTAGGTACCTAGACTATTATCATTGTCATAGGACATGAAATCATTCTAATATTCTCAAAATTCTTGATGTGACTTGATTCTTTTGAATAAGATATTTTGCTTAAGTTTATAAACTTTCCAAGTATGTTATCTTCTCAGGATAAATGATATAATAGCATCATGATCTTTAAAATTTATGGTAGAACATTGATTTCTAAATTTACAAGTATTGAACATAAACACTATAAATACCAAAGAATGAGTGTGTTTCTCAAAAATTGGCAAATTGTTGTTTCCTAGCCTCTATAAGTTAATCTGTTCTTCCAGGTGGACTACAGTGGAGGCTTTGAACCTTTCAGCGTTCATCGTTTTAGCCAGAAATTTGTGGATCGGGTGGCAAATCCAAAAGACATTATCCATT